GTGTGTTCTGTTTGGATAACCTCATGTCAAAAAGGACTTAGGCCTAGATCCTAGAGGATATTTAGGCTCCTAACTTCCATTGATTTAGAGGTGATTCAGCTGTGGGTGATGAGATTAATCAGAGACCTATAAAGAGAGATTAAAAAGCTAGAGTCCTCTCTAGTTTTGAGAAGCAATACTACAGTTTCACAAGCATGGGAGAGGGTGGGAGATCAGCACATCGTTCTTGGGGAGAGAACACATGGGACAGGGCAGAGAAAAGAAGAGTGAAGTGGGTGCATAAAGGGTCAAGTCAAGGCATCACAGACAGAGAAGGAACAGACCTTGGCCCTAATCAGTTTGCCAATGGGGATGAGAATTGCCTGAAACCAGAATGATGCTCAGGGAATGAGGCAACTAGTCAATATATGGGTTTTTATCTTTGTCAGTTAGTGTGCACTCGCTGCCTCATTTGCTGCGCACTGTTCCAAGCCGGTGCTGCATGTGGAATTCTTCCTTTTTTCCTTGGCTGTGGTGCGCTCCCCAGAGTATGTGAGCACTTGGCTGTCACTAAGGAACTTATTGGCAGAGCATCCCTACGCGGGAATTTTTAGACCCATTTTGTAGATGAGGAAACAGAAACAGAACGAGACTCGCCTGAAGTGACAGTGAAAAAGTAGCAGACATAGGATTAGCATCAATCCCTCCTTACTCCTAGACCTGGCTGCTTGACAGCCCACAATAAGATGCATTCACAGTGCCTAGGGATTGAATGAGTCCCTGACTCTTGTGAAAATAAGGCCCCAGCTGAGCTCTCACTTTGGGCACCAGAAAAGGAGGGGCACACAATGCAAAACAAACAAAACAAAAAACCGCATCACACCTCTGCCAAAAGTGACTTGAGCTGCTTCACAAGCAAATATAGATAAGGCTACGATTTTGTTATGCTTATTCCCAGCAAATGTCACGGACCAGTGGTGGGCAATAAACAAAAATCATGGGTATATGGAACCAGCCTGTGACTTTTACAAAAAGTATCTGGAAGGGAGGACTGAACACAGGGGTGGGGAAAGTAGATGACAGCCGTAGCTCCATGCCTGGGGACATTAACAGCCCAAGCCCCTGTTGGGAGTGGGGGGACTGATAGCTAAAGCCCCAAACCATGATGGGAGGGGCACACAGCTCCAGCCACAGCCATGGGAGGTGGGGGAAAGTGAACAGACCTGGCTCTAGCCTCAGCTGCAGCCATAGGGACAGGGTGGGGTGCAAAGCTCCAGCTGCAGCCATGGGGGACAGGAAGGGAAGAGGGCAGGGCACACAGCCCTGACTCTGGCCCCAGCTACAGCTGCTGACACTGAAGCCAAACAAGTCACAGAGGTCTGGTACCATCATGGAACTATGTGTAGCAGCAGTCAACTACTTTAGGTACAAGCGTGTCTCTCTCACCAACAGAAGCTGGTCCACTAAAAGACAGTAACTCACCCACCTTGTTTCTCTAACTTAGATTCTAGCACGGCACAGAGGGAGCCACCTTAATAACATTATTTTAATAGGTTTTTTTTAGGCAATCATCCATATGTGTTAGAATTCCTGTGGTCCATAGGTGTGAAGCCCATATCTTCCAGCACACGGAAGGTGGGGCAAGGACTCACTTACTGTGATAAAAGCAAAGCCTGCTGGTGAACAGGGAGGTGGGATGGCAGGGAAAGCCTTGCTTGGCTCTTACAGCCCCAGGCTATATCTAGACCGCAGGCTTCTTGCACAAGAAGCTTTTTGCGCAAGAGATCTTCTGCACAAACGTCTTGTGCAAGAGAGCGTCCACACTGCAAAAGCACGTCAGAAAAGCAATATGCTTTTGTGAAAGATAGCATCCATACTGCATAGATGTTCTCTCACAAGTAAGCAGTGATTGCTGTGGACAGAATGGCCACCAGGGCACCTGTGCTTTTTCCTCTTCCCTCTTCTTGCGCAAAAAACTCCTCTTGCCTGTCCACAGGCATCTTTTTGCAAAAGAACTCTTTCACAAAAAGGAGTTATTCCTCATAGAATGAGGAAGACCTACACCAGAAAACCCCCTCTGTTCTATCGTTTTATTTGCACAAAAACGCACTTGAGGTGTGGACGCTCCGTGAACTGTTGCGCAAAAACTCTGTAGGGTAGACCTACCCCCAGGGTGGCACCACCACAATCCAATCACAGGTAAGGATGGTGGGATGATGGAACATGCTCCGTCCAACCTGAATCTTGAGGGAATTTAACTGCCCAATGCGAACACATCTCTACTGAGCCAGTGGGAACTGATAGACCCATCATTTGGCCATATTTGGACAGTTTTTCAAGGGGGCAGTAGAAGGGGCATCTTTGACATCAAGGCAACTCCTCTACTAAATGTTAACACTCAGCTACAAACAAGGAGGTGCTAGTAATTTTTTTAACTTGGATAAAACAATACCATTTTCCCTGCCCTTGTTCTGAAAAATGTCACAGTCGTTTTTGCTGAAATTTTTCTGAAAAAATGCAGCCTGAGGCAGTCGCACGATATGGAAAATTTCAGCCAAATGGTTGAAGCGTGGCAGTTATAATAAACTGAAAACAGGGTCTTATAATGGGAAGTGTTGGGCAACATTAATAGTAGGTAGTGGCATTTGCACAGCCTGTAATTAAACAAGGAAACACATGTGTATACAGGAAGCTATACAAACTATTATTAGAAGCCTATATTTTCCCAGGTCATTAACAAACAGCGTAAAGTGAACCAGTGAAACATCAGACTCTCTTGTCTCTGATAGACAGAACGTAGCATCTTCCCAAGTAGGTCTGTGGGTAAAGAGGGAAAATGAACCATCATCGAATGTGATGTGCTTTGTGCTTTCCTGGCCTCCCTTAGGCTATGTCTATATTTCTCTCTAAACTCGAAATAAGATACGCAGTTTGCGCTATGCAAATTGTGTACTTATTTTGAGTTTATTTTTAAATAGGCTGTTTCAAAGTGTGGTGCTGTCTACATAGCACCATATTTCAAAATAAAGTGCTATTTCAAGTCATCCCTTAACCCTCATGGAATGAGGGTTACTGGGATGCCAAAATAGTGCCCTCGTTATTTCAAAAAATATTTTGAAATAACAGGTGGCTCGTGAAGACGGGGGGGGGGGGGCTATTTCGGGATACCTCTGGTATCCTGACATACCACTGCACTGTAGACATACTCTTAGAGGGTATGTCTACACATCAAAGTTAATTCAAAATAACAGCCATTATTTCGAACTAACTTTAATAGTGTCTACACAGGCAAACCGCTATTTCAAATTAAATTAACATACCCAAGAGCTGCTCCAAAATGCTTTGTGGGTAACTCTCTCTCTGAAGGATTAAGTGTGAGCAGAAAATGTAGCTTTGCCCCATCTCCTGGTTTGGGAGGGAGTTGTGACCTGTGGGTGGGTGGGGCAGGGGTGGTTTACAGAGGGCTTGGGTGGCGACTTCGAGCAGGGAGTTAGAGTGTGGGAGGGGGTAGGGTGTCAGAGGCAGGCTCTGGCCGAGAGGTGCTTGCCTAGGCAGCTCCGGATCAACAGCCCAGCAGGAACCCTTAGACCGGGTCCCTTCATGCCGTAGCTCCAGGCTGCTCCATGTGCCTCTCTGCATTGCACACTTGAGGGATGAGGAGAGACTTCATGCACTGGCCCTCCTCCCCCCAGCACAAGCATTACAGCTCCCGTTGGCCGGAACCCATTGATTTCCCCTCCCCTGGCACATGGAGCAGAGAGATACATGGAGCAGCCAGCCACTTTGAGCAGCCTGGGGCTGTGGCAGGCAGAGAGCCAGCCTCAGGGGCCCACAGACCAGATCCAAAGCCTCGATAAGCCAGATCTTGCCCACCCCTAAGCTAGAGGTTGTCTCTTGTGTGTATGTACAGTGCCTAGTACAATGGGTACTACACTATGAATGACAGTGGTAACTCAGCACTGCTTGTTTACTATGTTTGTGGCCAAATTCCTCAGTGAAGTCAATGGAGTGTCCCTGGGGATGTCTTTGGCCCAGTGGTTTTAGCAGTACTAGTTTCTCTTTTGGCTGGGCCTGTTCTTTGTCTGTCCCCTTGGCTTATGAGGTGAATGGGCTAGACCATCAGCCACCGTAGTCTTTGGAGCTGCCTCAGTTTACACCAGATGAGGAGCAGTCTCTCAGTCCATAATCAACTGGAAAGAAATGGGAAGTGATCTTCTCTTAGGCTGGCCCCGCCATATCATTCTCTGATAGGAATTTGGTGATTTTTTTTTCTTATCCTGAAAATTGATTTACAGGCTCCCGCACTGATCGCCAGTGTTCCGTCAGGGTTGAGTACCCACCCCTCGATAATAAGGCAGGAGCACTTTCTTCCATTAAAAGCTTGGGTTCTGAGCCACGACAGCCATTGTCAAAGGCAAAGATTGGGCTGTGGAGATCTCTTGTACTGGAGGAGTTCCAGGATGGTTTGTAGGAACGTTGGGTCAGGAAATGGTTGTATTTATGATCGGCAGGTCACAGGACCAAAAAGTTTAGGAAGCCCCAACCTCTAATAGAGCATTTACAGCCTTGTGCAGGTTGATGTGAAATTGAATTTGTACTAATCCACCTAAGAGCAACAAAGGATGAAATATATCGTAGGTAAGATTGATCTGTTTTACGGCGCCCTATATTTTATACACTGGGCTTTTGAAAGGCATAATTGTCAGTTATGTTTTGTTCTGGATTAAGTACTTGACCTTTCTCAGCTTCAAACTCTCCCAATATTCAAGTTCGTTGCCTTTTTATGCACTTTGGTCTCCTTCCTGCTTTTCGTTCTAACCACACCAATTATGTTTCATCAGGCAAATTCCCAATGACATCAGCTCCAGTAGGACGGTCCCAGATCCAGATCTTTTGAAAGCCTGAGCCATAGTGACTTCACAGGTCCTCACATCTAAGAATTAAGAGGCCCATGCACACTCCAGGTGAAATCCTGCCCCCCAGTGACTCCCGTAAAGCCAGGATTTTGCCATCTCTGTTACCTTGGCTGTGATGGGAGTAATTTCTTGTCAAAAGGATGGTTCCAACTCTGTGGCAAAGCTGCCCCTATCTCCATGCTTTCTGCAGGTCTTTTGCTCACAGCCCCATGGAGCTGGAGAGGAACAGGTCAGTTCCTTCTCACTCATTTCCAAACCTAGGGGAGAAAAAACCTGGTCAATACACATTGAGGTTGTGTTACCTGGCACGTACCAAAGAAGTCCACACATCCAAGGTCTACCAGGGGAATGGGAACCCCTGGGAACAAAGCTCTTGCAAGAGCTCTGGTGCCCAGGAGTGGGGAAATGCTGGTGAGGCTGACCAGGAGAAGAGAGGAGACAAGGATGCCCATGGTCTGCAGCAGACCCTCAGAAATATGAGCAGCTCTGGAGGGATTCACAGCAGAAGGAGTTGGACTACTGGAGTCTTTTGCCCCAGTAGAGAAAAACTCAGAAGGGCTGTGTTAAGTGTGGGGTGCAAGGAAGCAGTGCAAGCATTTGGGGGTAGGAAGTGGTCCAGAGAAGCAGCAGTGCGTCTGAAGGAGCCGACCCCACTGCTTGATACAAGGCTACTGGGCCGCAACCAGAGTTCCCCTGCCAGCCCTGAGCTGAGCATATAAGACCAATGGAAGGATTACTGAGCCCAGGATGGGGTTGAAGACTCAGCCTTGAGGACAGGCCAACATAAAGCCCAAGAGGGACAGAAGGATCTTTTGTGTTGGGACTTTAGTTGTACTCATTTCCGCAGAAGGAGTAGAATTGAAACATGACCTGGCTGGAGGTTCCAGTTGCAAGCAGAGAGACTTCTGCAGCACTGTGGTGGATGAGGGGTGCTAGAGGAAGGTTTGCTACCCAACACCCAACCTCGAGGGGGCGCACCAACAGTGAATTAACTCTTCCACATACTGTATGGTAGACCTTGCTGGCTGCAATATAGTCCAATAGCTACTCTAATGTACTTTCAGACTGATGCAGCTCTGAACAGCTATTGCATATTAGTCAGAAAGAGAAGCTCTCTTAACCTGCCTCTTTTTACATAATTCTGTAAATTCATTGCAATATTTTATCCTTTCCTTGTAGAATCCAGAATATTCACCCCAAAAGGGCTTCTTTAAAATATATCTATCGTATACAATGTTCTTTTGGTTTTAACCAAGCCGTGAGCGAATGATTCTAAAACAACTCTCTGTGCATGGCTGATATAACCTCACACTGTGTACCTCATTGATTAAATGTAGTTTTCATATTTAATATCATGTATCTTTCAAAGCACCTTATAGATTCACAGCTGTTCTGTAAGGCACTTAGATTTATTTCAATATTTACAGTGCATTTGTTGTTCATTAAACATATTTACCCAGGCTAACCCAACATGAAAGAAATTATCTTGTTTACAGTGGAATCTTGACAAAAAAACATGCAGAAAAGACAGACAAACACACAGAAACCTGGATTGTTGAGTGGAACATTGATTTGCTGCCACATCCAATTTTTCTCATTAGAACTTATTTTATTTGAACATGACTCAGTACCCCGTGTAAATGCGAAGTTGTTAATCTTATTACTATATGGAAAACAAATTAATTATTATGCATGGTATTGGAAATGGGTTGTTAAATTGGCGTTGGAAAGATTAGAAAAATACACTCATTACTTCCAATGATATCTGATATACAAGTATTGCTCTGTTTTGAGATCATTGGAAATATTCAGATAACAAATAAAGCAGATAGAAAAGCCCCTTTTTTGTATCTTGAGAACATTAATTTGAATTTTTAAAAAAAGGTTGGATTAAAGGCCGTATTTTGTGTACGTGTTATTTACATTTTAAAATATCAATATTCCAGCTGAGGAAATGAAGCTGTTGTTTTTCTCTGTGCATAATGATGGATATATTATGTTAATACAACCAGCCAGTGCCAGGTAGCAAGGTTCATTGAAACAAAGAAAGAACTTGGAATTCTGCCTTCTGTAGACAGTGACACACGTTGATCTCTAACAGAGAGTGTCTGTAGAAATCATTGTTGTTGTTAAAATCACAGCAACAATCACAAACATAGAGCTTATAACACACACCTTCAGTGGATGTTTGTAATGTTTGTATAATATCTAGCACAACAGGGTTCTGGCTCATTACCAGGCTTAGGTAATAAAAATAAATAAGGATTTTTAGTATAAGCATTAACTACTGAACCTGTGTGTGCGTGTATACACAGTGTACTTACCCAGTATTGCTCGGGTCCTTGAGGAGCTCAGGGCACGGGA